AGAGCCAGGTTAATGTTCACAAAACTTTGCCTATATAAACATTCTCCCTTGGCATAAATAAATACTCTCCATTGCTTTCAGAATAAAGTAAAAATTTCTGTCTGGAATTCAGAGCTCTCCACTACCTGATACAAATGTATTTCTAACTTTATTTCCTACGTTTCTCGTTTGCACAACATTATAATCTGTATGATCTATTCAAAATCTCTTAAATATCCTTTGCTCATTTATTCATTCCTAGGATTCAATTCCCCCTATCTGAAACATATTCTCCTATCTTCATTGATATAAATTCCATCTATTTTCATGGTTCTTCTCAATGCTTGTGGCTCCATGGATCTCTCTTGCATTCTGCCAATTGGTAATTATTTTAATCCATTCTGAGTTTACATTTTTACATATGTCTCTCAAACATAACATTATATAAAAATTACTTGCAATGCTTGTAAAATGCACATTTTCAGGCTCCATTCTAGATATTTGGATTCAGTAAATCAATGGTGAGCTCACAGAATTTTTGTTTTTAACAAAATTCACAAGTGATTCAGACTCTGGTGGACTTGTGATTATACTTTTAGAAACATCACATAGCAGTTATTATTTGGTTTATTTACTTGAACCTTAATTACACATTAATTTTCAGTTTGCAAATTTCCTATTTGCATCTCTGATTGCCCCAGTAAGATTGTAGATTAACTGAAGATAATGACAAAATATACACTTTTCTCTATTCTGTATAGTACTTAGTATATTCATGAAGCTAGTGCCCAATAAAATGTACTAAATTATCCAGCTAAAATATGCTTATTACTAAGGTATCTGCAATTGCCATGTATATTTGCTAATGTATTTACTATCTGATCCCTTCTGTAGGGTATAATCTTCATGAGTGTAGAGCTTTATCTCTTATTCACATCTAAATCCCATCGATACTTAAAATGCAAGATTTTTTGCTCAATAAGTTGTGTTTCAAGAAATAGGCGAATAACAGGTGAGTGTCCTTCCTCATTAAATGATTTTCCTCTCCTAGTCACATTTAAAAATCGACAACAATAAGAACTATTTACATTATTTTGTCACTTTTTTGTTTGTTTGTTTCCAGCCTCAATTTGAAAGATGTATCTCCAGCTGAAATGTATCACCTCATGCAGTGGATGCTATGATGTGTCATTTTCTGCTCCTCCCTCTGCAAGTGTTGATCCCAAGGAAATTCCTTAATAAATCTCTCCTGGCTGAGCATGGTGGCTCATGCCTGTAATCCTAGCACTTTGGGAGGCCGAGGTAGGTGGATCAACTGTGGTCAGGAGTTTGAGACCAGCCTGGCCAACATGGTGAAACCCTGTCTCTACTGAAAAAAAAAAAAAAAAAAAATTTAGCTGGACGTGCTGATGCATGCCTGTAATCCCAGCTACCCTAGAGGCTGAGGCAGGAGAATCTCTGGAACCTGGGAGTCGGAGGCTGCAGGGAGCCGAGACCCTGCTCAACTGCACTCCAGCCTGGGTGTCACAGCAAGAATCCATTTCAGAAACAAGCAAACAAACAAAATCCCTCTTCCTACTTATTAATCTGTAGCTCAGAGTTTGCTTCCCAGAGATAAAACTCCCTGTTACTCTAGTGGGGTCAGAGAAACCAGACACTGAATGGGATTTTAAAGCTGGATCACCTGCCCTTTGCTGGAGATGAAATTGAGGATCCCATTATTGGTAGTAGGTGAGCACAAATAGCCCCTGAGCATGAGGTAGCAACAAATTACTAAAACTTTTATCAGTGGCAAACTGGGGTGGTGGAAGGGACAGCATTAGCTCATGCAATGCATTAGGCATTTGAGAATTATGGAAGGTAGGGTGATTTCAAGGATATTGGACTTGGGTTGCTATTGCTAAGTTCTATCAATATTCTGGTAAAAGATAACAAGCTAAAAGTGATTTATCTGCATTAAAAGCCAAATGTGAAAGCCAGAGGGCCTCTTTGGTAGCACACAAAGAAACTCAATAGGAAGAGAGCAGAGAAAGGCTGAAAGGGTTAGCAACCTCCTTTGTCTAAACAAAATATAGAGGCCTTTTTCCTAAAAGATAACAGGTATTCCTCCTTCAGTATTAACCTTCTCTCCCTGACCCTTGACCTCCTTGGCCATCAGGAAAATAATTTAGGCAAAAATTTACAATCACCTAGGTAGGAATATACCAGGCCTGTGAAGAGACAAAAGGAATTACACCTCTAAGGGACACTAGGACCTGACCAAAATGAATTTGTATGAGGTGGGAGAGTATGCCTGGGACTACGCTCTGAGGATGCTGGTCCAAGGCAGGAGGGTAGAATATAAACCTGGATAATACTCTTCAAGGAATCAGAATTAATCACTCGGGAAAGAGCCCTGGAAGATGATGTGAATGCATAGTTAGAATACCACCTAGTAGCATGCCACTTAGATGGCCCATTCTAGGTGAGGTGGCAATTTTGGAACTGTCAAGGCAGATGGTAGAAGAAGAGATAAAAGTCTCAGAGATATGGGTATGTTAAACATATAATATATGGCTGGAAAGCCCATTAGATATTTCTAATTTATGGGGGTGTGAAGGGACAGTAGGAAAAAGGATTTACTGAAATAATAATGAATATGCTGGTGAGACTGAACCTGGTAATACTGAGAAGTTTATCTACTGCCCTTGTCTCTAGGCCAGGTGAGTGAGAAATACCAATACAGAACTAAGATGACTAACAACAATGGGATAACATGGCCTAAAACAATAGAGGCCAGATGGTAACTGTTAGCCATCAGAAGGGACATGGTCGCAATTGCCCTAGTGACAATTAAGACTGGAATTAAGTCAAGAGGTCAAGGAAGCCCAACTCAGTGTTATGGAGATAGTTAATAGAACACAGTATCCCAGGAGTAACCCTAGGTAGGTGGCCAAAAAGTTTATCACTCCATCTATAACACCAAAGATAAATAATCAGGAGTCTGAGGGTTACTGCAGATATACTGATAAAAATCCAAGAAGACCTACTCAGTTTCCATTTCAGAGCCAGATTTTGGACCTCAAATTCATTGACTGAAGAAAAGTCTGAGTCACCAGGTGAAAAGGGCTCCACAAAGCCACAGCAATTGTACATGGCTATGATTAACTGCCAAGTGTTTTCCCAAGGGGGCCTTCAGGTATTTACTCAGGTAACTGTAGTGGGAAAAGAAAAATAGCTGAACACTTTAAAGAATGTTGGACACAGGGCTGAGATGATATGACACCCTGAGACCTGAAGAGTTTCATGGGTACCCTGAATGATTCCATATGGTGGAATCATATGAGAATATATAATAAATTGTGTCCTGGCCCCGGAATAATTCCCAATGGGTTCACAAGATGTATAGACTCACCCAATAGTCATTTCTAGAGTCCTCAAATTTATAACAGTTATATTTGCTAGTTGGTGCCATCCCGTATACTAGGTTCTTGGCCTGTGGTATATGAGCAATTGAAACCAAGTGGAAATCTCTGGAAATGCTCTATTCATACCCCTAGCCAAGAGTAAATAAAACACAATATAGCATTCTTAGGGACTGACAGAAATTAGCATCACCTTTAAATCCTTAAAAGATACAGGGCTGGTGGTCATCATTGTGTCTTCATTGAATATAGAAGCCTTTCTTCTGAAAAACAAAATATAGTGGACAAATATTGGAGCATAAAGTGGATTACTGTAAACTCAAGAAAATAGTACCCCAACTATTGCTGTGACGTCAGATGTGGTATATTTGCTAGAACGGAGTAACATGGCCTCAGAAACTCAGATAAGTGACCACTGATTTGATCTGGTGAATGTTGTCTTTTGCATCTTTATTAGAGAAAAAGGAACAGAAAACCGAATATATTTACAGCTATTCTGTTATAACACAGTTTGAAGGAATCCAGTCTGCCTGGACATCTCACAGAATATCATATTGCTCCACTATTATATAAATGGCATTATTATAATTGGACTGGATGGGCAAGAAATAGCTAGCATGATGGAAATCTTGGTACATGTACTCCAGGTTTTGAGTAATAAACTCTACAAAAATTCAGGGTCCCATCGTGTTAATGAAAATTTTAGAGGTCCAGTATGCCAGGACATTCTCTGCAAAGTAAAGGATAACATACTTTGTGAGTTGATAGACCTGGAGTCAACATGTTTTACACCTAGGGATACACCTAGTGACCTGAAAGTCTGGCAGCTTTGAGTGTTTCTGTGGAGTCCTAATAAGATAAGTAAGCAGCAATGAGGAAGAGGTCCAGGTGTGGGAGAACAACTGTTCTTAGGAACGGCTAATTACAAACCCCTGGCAAAATTACCTCCTTCTGCATGTAGTCCCAGTAGCACGACCCTATAAAACTTTCCTCCAGCCCCTGCCACTTTGCAGACAGTCCCTTCTCTGTTATGCCTGCTGCTTTCTCGCAAGGTATCTTCATACTTTCTCTAATAGTCTGCCTTCTTTACCCATGACTGTCTTGGTAAATTCTTTTACCACTCGCAACGCTGGTCCCAGCCAGTTGCACCCATGACATTATGGTGGCGCGTACAGGGACTGCTAGGGGACTCCTCCTTTACTTTCCCCCCTTTCCTCTCCTCCAACTCCAGGTTCCCGGTGGACAGCGTCCAAGCACGGAGACAAGTGAAGGTCCCCAGCCAGGGCCACTTCCTGGCGAACCAGAAGGTCTCATAATGAAGACTTCTGACGGCTGCCGTCCCCATTAGGTGAGAGTTTGGAGTTTTGCCTTCATTTTCAGTTTTCTGGAGGACAAACTCTAATAGCCCTCTGGCAATTGATGGCACCTGGTGTAGCCTGAAGACCAGGAGGTGAACAGGTGTGGCCTTCTTGCCAGGGAGGGAGGAAGGCTCTCTCCTATCCTTACTGGTCAAAAGTCCCCAGTCCCTATGTGCAGCGTTGACTGGCAATGGAAGTTAGACCAGGGCAAATCTACACATGTTTTGGGGGACTCAGGACCCCTCTTTCTCTCTCTAAGTTCCCACATGAAGACAGCCAGCCACTTTGCTTCGGACATCTTAAGCCAGGTGATCCCCGATAGCGCCGAGAGGGTAAGTCGTCCCTCAACATTTCCCCGCCCTGCGCCCCCATACCTGGATTGAAAGCTCCGCATAATTTGTACTGGACTGACCTGGGGTCGCTCACCCAGCGTTCATCCAGCGCAAGGCCCTAGCGCTGGGAGATCTTTTCCAATAGGTTGGATGCCTCTTTTGAAAGTGGATCCCTTAGTGGACATAAGTGGAACCCCCTTTCCTTGGAAGGAGGCCCCGAGAGAAATTGTAGTTCATGTTCCTAGTGGACATTGTTTCCCAGTCCCATCATGGTACAAAGCCCCTCCATTCCTTCAGACTCGCCGCTGGGCTGTGTTTTAAAGCTTTGGGATAAATCTGACCCTCAGACTCTCAAAAAGAAACATCTAATTTTCTTATATAATACAGCATGACCACTCTATAACCTTCCAGGTCAGGAGTCCTCTTGGCCTCCAGGCAGGACTCTTGCCCCCTACACTATTCTGCAGCTTGGCCTTTTCTGTCACGACTCTTTTAAATGGTCTGAAGTTCCTTATATCCAGGCTTTCATGACTCTGGGGATCCTGATCTCTGCCAAACCTGCTGATGTGCTTGACCAAGTTCTTTGGCCTCACTTGCTCTTCTAACATTTTGGACGAACCTTCTTTTACTCGCTTCTGATCTCCCCAACCAGATGAACCCACTGAGGCCACACCTTCCCTTGACAAGCCACCTTCATATTCAATTACACCTAATCCATCTGCTCCTTCTCCCTCACCTTACCCCCAACATCCCAACCCTGAATGTCATTTTCCAGTAACTTACTTGTCAAATTTGTGTCTTCTAGAATTCGGCAGTTTCAACTTCAAATGATGATGTGAACGGGATGTCATTATCTCCCCAATGATGTCTGATATCTTTACAAACCTCCCCTGGATTCAGCTGGACACCAATTTTGCCCTGACATGTTCCCCCTCTCTGATGAACCCCTTCCTCCAGCAAGATCCAATATTGTAAGTCCCACATTATGGGACAATAACACACAGGGTCTCCTGATAGACTAGTGACCATAGGTAGGGTCAATTCTATGTCCCAGGCCCGCAGGAAGCAGTTGGAAGATGAGACCTCCACCTCAATGTCAAAGATTTGTCATTGTTGTTCTGTTGGTGGTGGTGGGGTGGGGGGATGTGGAGTCCTAATAAGCAAGCAACAACAAGGAATGGGCCCTGGGTAGGAGAGAACAATTGTTCTGAGAGTCAGGTAATCAACTTGCTGGCCCAACGACCTTGCTTTGCATTTAGCCCCAGCAGCATGACCCTATAAAATGTCCCTGCAGCCCCTGACTCTGCAGACAGCCCCTTCTCAGGTGTGCTGCCTGTTGCTTTCTTGCAAGGTATCATCATACTTCCTCCAATAAATCTATCTTCTTTACCCACAACTGTCTTGGCAAATTCTTTTACCTTCTGTGACACCAGCCCCAGTCAGTCACACCCACAACAGGCTCCGAGCAGGAGGGGCTCTGCAGTAATTCCAGGCTTCAGTGCAGGCAATCTTGCTGCTGGGGTTGGCTTATATGACTTGGAAGGCCCTGTGGTTTTGAAGATATGAGTGACTGGAAAGAATTCCATACAGATTTTATGGCAAGCCCCTAGTGGGAGAATCTCGTGCAGACCCCTAGTATTCTGGAGATTTGCAGCCTTTGAGAAACGTTTCCTTGTATGATATTGTGACCTGGTATCTGGGCTAGTTTGTCCCACTAACCTTCTTCCTCTTAATATACCTTATATTTAGAGAATACAGATGTTCCCAGAACCTATAAGAAGTGAATTCGAGTGATAAGAGTCAGCTGTGGTTGATGTTTGAGATTGTACTGCCTATATCTCCCTTCAGGAATAAAGTATTTATTTCCCTAACTGTTGGGAGGAATAGCATAAGATGGCCCTCAATTATCAGCTGTTTAGGGGGTTATCCTCAGAAGAACGTTGCCTTAGCCAAGTCACACCTTTTTAGGGTGTGCCTACACTCAATGTCTGATCAATTTGGAAGTAAACAGCCAAGGTCATTCATCCTAATTTGAGAGATCTCTTAAACACCAGATGAGTTCAGGAGCTTCCAGTGGGGTGGGCTGAGGTTTTGTTTGGGATGACAACCTTGTTCAATTATGCTTTCCTCACTTTCTTTTTCTTCCTTTCATAGGCATTGATCCTAAGAGCACCCCTTCATAAATATACTGCATGTGAGTCTCCCTCTCAGAATCTGCTTCTCGGGGATACTGTGACACATTGTTGATCCTTCCTTGGTGGACACATATTAAGGTAAAGCCACAACTGACTGTATACCATTCATTAGAATAAGAAAGGAAAAGATAGTCAATAATATGTCTTTTATTTTTTCCTTTTTATTGGTTTTCTTCCCTCTTAAACTAGAAGTTTCAAGAATGTCTAATCATTTTCTTCGTTAAATCATATTTACATAGCTGAAAGTTTTAAATACAGAAACATAAGGACGTGTAAATTTATTTAAAAAATAATAACTTCTATCCTCATGATTCTCACTTTTATACATGCACCTTTATTTAATATGTTTCTTTGTTTAAAGTATCAGAGGCCGATACAAACATAGTTTCAGAAAATCTCCATGATTTTTATGTTACTCTGGATAAGTCATAGTTTTTCATAAATAACACTGAAAAATTTAGAGATACCTATTGTGTTAAGATTTATTGTTTCTCCCTTTTATGGGTTGTGGTGAAATAATATGCAGGGGACATAGTCCAATTATAGGTAATATCAGAGGAAAATATACTACTAAATATAGTATATGGTTTCTGGTTCAAGTCATTAGCCAGTACTACCATTTTTTATTTCCTTCCAAGGTCGTATTGAATACTTACATAATATTTCAAGAGAATAAAATAATGAGATCATTGGGAAACCACAATGGTAAGAATTTGCAGACATTTTGGGAGTTAGATAAAGATTGGCAGTGAAGTCACAGCAGATGAAATACCAGAGCTATGTTTTTCAAGCTGTGTACTGTATAACTCTAGGGGCTCAATTTACATAGACTTATGCAGGGTTTAACCTGCTCAAACATCTAGAGAGGCCCTGGAGACACCAACCCAAGGTATACTTATGAGTTGTTTCCCCAAATTATTCCTAAAGGAGTTCCAAATAAAAGCCAACAAATTCAAAGAGCAGAAGTGGGCCTTGGGGCCATAGAAAAAGTCATTAAATGAATGAATACAAAATAGCCCAGAGAGCAAGCCTTTCCTTTCTCCCGCAGCCAAACAGAATGACTGGTAAGAGAAGATTTGCTCTCAAGGTAAAACACTGGAGCAAATTACAGAAAGTCTCTGGTCTTTCTGGGAAGAGTTTGAAGTCCTAAGAGAAAAGCACCCTGGAGCTTTGGACAAGTCCTAACTGCCACAGCAGATAGGACTGGGGAAACTAGAAATTATAATCTGCCCCGAGAGAAAGAATTTATCCCACTTCACCTCGAGAGTCACTTCTTGTTTTGGCAACTGTGTAGGTCTCCAGGCTCCCTGCCTATATTAATCAATCTAGTCATTCAATTAATTATGAATAGGCAATCAAGACTAACAAGAGAGTTGAGAACAACCAGCACCATGGGTTTTAGCAATAATAAGACTGCCTAGGAAACAAATCATCTGAGAAAAAAGATAATTGAAATATATACTTAATATCTTTAGAGAGTTTCAAATGATGCTGCATTTTTAAAACAAAACCAGGCTGTCATGATAAGATAAAGAATGACAAAAAGTTCTTGAAAATTAAAATATGATTTTTGAGAACAAAAATAAAGAATTTTCTGATTGATACTATAAAAATGGCTGAAGAGCAAATATGTGATCAGGAATAAAATAAGTTTCCTAGACTATGATAAAAATGTAAAGTATAAGTAAGTACATGATAAAGGTTGCAATACATGGATGATAGACTCAGAATGTATAGCAAACAGAAATAATGGAGAAGAAAAAACATTTAAAATTTAATAGAGAATTTTCAAAACTAATATTATAGTATGACATATATAGTATAAATGTTTATGTTGAAGGGGCCTACAGAATTAATGAGAAAAATTACAAAAAGACATACATGTAGAAAGATCACAGGAGAGAAAAGGGAGAGTAAAAAACTTAAATATTAAGAAACAAATATCATATTTTCCTCAGTTTCATCAGCAACACTGAATAATAGAAGACAGTAGAGTAATATTTTCTAATTTTAAGCCTATAAATCTATATGTAAACAAATTATGAGAAAAAATAAAAATTAGGAGATATGGAGGAACTCAGAAAATTTCTAATCTGTTAAGCCCACACATACACATATATATGTTTATATGTAAGAATGTGTATGTACACATATGATTTGATATGCATATACATATACATATATATGTGCACATTAGAGTTTCTCAATTTTGGCACTATGGACACTTTGGCTCAGATAATTCTTTGTTGTAAAAATGTATCAAGTGCATTGTGGGATATTTAGCAGCATCATTGTCTGGTAAAGGCAGGGGATCAAAATCACCTCAAGTTAGAAACCACTGGTATCCTTGCATATATATGTGTATGTACATATGTGTCATATGTATCTATATATACACAAACACATGCAAAAACCATGTTATGCACATATATGTGTAAGATTTTATATGTATAGGATTATATATATGATTATATATATACCTGTACACATACATATATGTATATATGTAAGATTTTATACAAGGTATACATAATATATAGTTGACCCTCGAATAACATGGGGGTTATGGACACTGACCCCCATGCAGTAAAAACTTTGACTATCACTCTTTATTTTTCAAAACCTTTATGAATAGCTTTCTCTTAACAAGAAGCCTAACCAATGTGTAGTCAATTAACACATATTTTGCATGTTATATGTATTATATACTTTACTGTTACAATAAAGCAAGCTAGAGAAAAAATATTAAGAAAATCATAAGGAAGAGAAAATATATTTAATATTTATTAAGTGGAAGTATATCATCATGAAGGTCTTCATTCTTATTGTCTTCAAATTAAGTAGGCTGAGAAAGAGGAGGAAGAGGAAGGCTTAGTCTTAATGTCCCATGGGTGGCAGAGATGGAAGAAAAGCCATGCAAAAGGAAATCCAAACAGTTCAAACTTGTGTTGTTCAAGGGTCAAAGGAATATATGGACAGATGATAGATAGAAGATTAGATAGATATTAATGGATGGATGGATAGATAGATAGATAGATAGATAGATAGATAGATAGATAGATATAGATAGCAGCCCAAAATCAGCATTCTGGAATGGGTGGCCTCGTAGTAGTTAAGTCTTGGTGTTGGTCTTAGCACTCACAGATAGGCCTTGGTTTTTCCTGTTGAACATAAGTAGTCTCATAGAACATAAACTTGAGACAAGTCCACTCTGTGACCATGATGAAATAAGAGAAATAAAGACCACTATGTAATCATGTCTGAACACAGACAAAATACAAATATTTTTCAAACCACAAACGTGACCAGCATCTTCCTATCTTGTCTAATAAGAGTGACTGTTTTATCCTTATCAATTATATCTTTAACCTTTATCTAATGTTCTCTCCTTCTAGATAGACTTACTACAACATCCAATCACAGAATTACTTCACTTCCTGAGAGCATGCAATTTAAAGAAAGCCCTACTTACTTAAACTCTCCCAAATTATATAAAGTAATTCTAAATCCAATAGTAGGTTCATTCTAACACTCCTTAGTGAGATGCTTCCCCACAGTTTCCAGCTGCAATAAGTAATGAACTCAACTTCTTCAGCTGCAGATGCTCCTGGTAATCCAAGGAAGTATTACATAGGATATAAGAAAAATTTGCATATAAATTAGAAAAAGTGAAGGACACTGGAAAGAAAACAACAGCAACAGAAGCCATTAACCATTTGCCATTTAGAAGCTTCAGTTACACAGGGTTTTATTGCTTTTTTTATGATCCATATGTCTTATTTAAGTTTACAGTAAATAGTATTTAAATGTGGATATAAAAATGTTATTTATTGGTTTTCAGCCTTTATTTAAAAACCTACAAATAAAGAGAATAAACTTAAGTAGAGTAATGTACCTGAATATACTGATCAATGTTACTTACCTTGATGTTGCCAAAATCATGATAGAGATGATGGAAGTTGAGACATGGAACAGAAAAAACAAGATGGAGAAAAATCCAGTGCGATAATCATTACCTCACCTTTCATAGAGGAGACTCATCTTTCATATCTAAGTCTCCTCTAGATAGTGTCTCGATAGTGTTAAAAGTTGATGAAAAAAGATATAAAGCCATAAAAATATAGTTTAGTTAAAAGTTGAAATTACTACACAAAAAACTAAAACTAAATCAGTAAAAAGTGTTGAATTTGTAGCAGGCGCATGGCAATAGTCTAACTACAGTGAATTCTCAAACTTTATTGAAGGAAGTAAATAGTTACTGTTTAATGTTGACAAATCAAAAAATAGAAGTATAGCACAAGATTTAAAGTTGTTATATTAAACTCAGTGTGACCAGTATAATAAACTTTTAGCAGTGGCAGCAACAGCAGAATAGAAAGGAAACCATGAAAAATGGTAGATTTTACTCTACTCTCTATTTCATAGATTTCTGCATACATTTTAACCACATGTGCCTATTAGTTCCATAATTTAAATAAATAATGGTACTCTCATGGCACGTAATACTTTGCAATAGTAATGTTTACAGAATATTAAGTGAAAAAGCAAGTTTCAGAAAAGTATGCATAACATGAGCTCATATATGTAAATATATACAAAGTACATATTGCAAATAAATATTATATATAATGTATATAGCAAATGTATATATTCTGTATGTCTTACAAGATGCGCATTTCATAACGACAGATAAATCTTGGAGAATGGGTGGCTTGGAAAAAAGTGAATGGATTTGATAGATATTTAGAAAATGTATGGCTGAGTGATTAGGTGTGGAGAATAGCGAGATGTGAAAGGAAACTGGCATTTTGGCTTGAGCACTAGATGGATGGTCATTCTGATAAAGAAAAATCACTGGGAGAAGAAGAGGGCTGCTTGCTTATCTGTCAGTTCATTTGTGTGTTTTTTGTTTTTGTTTTTTTTTTCCAGAGGATGGGGAGAGCAATAATAACTTTGATTCTGAACAAATTAAATGTTTGTATTTAGTGCAAACATCTAAATGGGCATGTTCAATAGGCAATTGGATATACAGGATTGAAACTTGCAAGAGAAATTCAGCCTACTGATACTGAGTGATA